CAAAAACCAATTAAGTAAATGTTATTTATGTTAGTCAAGACAGCAAGTAATGCAAAATCACCAGGCTTACTTCATTCTGTTCTTTACAGAAAGTTGCTAGCTAAGTCTTAATACCAGGCCTCACCCACCCTAAATAAACTATCTTTTTTGGATTTGTATGAATGGATGGGATTGAGCTGAACACAAAGCCAGGTTTTGCCATGCTTTGTGGAAACTGCTTTACCTTTAGGACAAGTACAGGCAGATCTGTGAGCTCCTCCAAGACACTGCCCTGGTATTCATTCTGAGTGAAGATTGGTGCTTCGTCATTCTTATTGACAACATTGATGATGATAAGAGTGTGGTTTTCCCATTTTCCATCAGAAGCTACAAGCCGGAGCTCATAATGTTGTTCTTGTTCAAAATCCAGAGGCTGAGCAATGAAGACAGTTCCAATCTCAGGTTCCACATCAAAAACCCCTCTCACATTTCCTGAAGTGATCTGATACCTTAGTTTGGCATTTGCACCTATAAGAGAAAGAAACAATTGCCCCCTTTGTTTACTCTATGAATGCTCAATACAGCTATGCACAATGGACATGTATCCAAGAGAAACCTTATTTTCGCAGACTGTTGTGGTGTGTGTGTGTGTGTGTGTGTGTGTGTGTGTGAGATAAAAACATAAAAACGTACACAGAATGATCTGTGTATGTAATTTGAAGGTTTTGTCTGTGGTAGATGGGAGGCTGGATTTGCATTTATATTTACAAGTATAATTTACAGACACAGACAAGCACTTGTTTATTGATAACAGAGAAATTGTGTGCCTCTAAATTATTGTGCATTCATTTGCCAATAATGAAAAAGTAACATACAATGAAAATACAAGAAGCTGTTTTTGGTCAGTGTTTCCTAAGCCTCTCGTTTCAAATGCCAGTATTCCTTAACTTATTTTTTTTAAACCACTGGGTGGTGCTAAAATATAACAGAAATCCTCTATTTTGAGCAAGAACTCAGAACATTCCACCTGTGCAACAGCAGTTGTTTGATTGCTGCAAAACTTTTAGGAAAAGCAACAAAACTTTTAGGAACAGCAACAAATAGTTTAGTGCTTTCTGTTTACTTATTTGGAAAGGTAAAAATTACATTGCATTCCAGTATACAAAGTAACTTCCTAAACTGAATAGGTGAATTGCTAGAAGCATAAAGAACATTTGGCTTTTTAAGTTGTGATACAGCTGTGGATGAGAAGACTAGAGCAATATGGATGGCTAGAAAGTGAAAAGGCTGTGCTCAACATTAGTGCTTGGAAGGACTTGGCTGCCTTTGCAGCAAGAGTTTGAGCATCACAAATGGCCTCTTTACACCTCCCTCAGCAGCACTAAGAGACACAGGCATTGCAGCACTGCCACAGAAAGGAATGGCCAGCTCTCACCTGCTCCGAGCAACACATCTCTCTGGTTCTCATTTGGGCTCTGTCATCAGCTTGCCTTCTTTTAATCAATGGATTTGTTTCTCTAGAGCAAGTTGAGCTGTCCCAGCCCACAAAAGTAACCAAAATACAAAGACAGGGACTGACTAGTGGTACATGCTGTTGGACAGGCTCTGCCCATGTGGTCTCATCACACTGTAGGGGCAGCTTCACACCATCAGATCTGGTGTCAGTGCGACACAGTGTGACACAGTGTAAATAAAGAAAATGCTCACATGTGCCCCAAACTTCTCTCCCCACTTTTACAAATGTTTGAAATGTGGAATTGTCTCCTGAATACAGAGAACTGTTGGTCCATGAAGGAAGTAGACCCACATACAAACACACATTAACACTAAAAGGACTTTAAAAGACATCCAGGGCCCACTCACCCTCATCTTTGTCATCTGCTGTTGCTGTCACAACAGGACTTCCAACATCCCTGTCCTCGTCTATGCTGACCTCATACACTGACCGAGGAAATGCCGGAGCGTTGTCATTCACATCGCTGACAAAAATCCTCACGTAGGCTGTGTCTAACAATGAGATGCGAGAGGAACACGCAGAGTAGAAAAGGCAGAGGAGGAATACCTTATATTATTCCAAACAGCTCACATACCTGCCAAGCCTCTGAAAGTTAAAAAGCCCAATATAGAATTCCTTCTTAGTTTTACCTGTGTTGGGCTGCCCGTGAACGCCAGGTCTAGCAGACTCTGATAAGTCCTGAGACTGAACTTCAATCAAGTAAGAGGCTCTTTTCTCTCTGTCAAAAGATGCCTGGGTGGAAATAATTCCTGTCTCAGGTTCAATGGTGAAGAACTGATAATCTTCATTAGAATCTTTTAATATTAAGTAGTGAACCTAAAAAAGAAATAGTTAAAAGAGGTTACATTTTCAATTTTCATTTGTATGTCCAAGTGCTGTGACCTC